TAGTTTGACGCAATCGGGACACATCTTACACCTGAAGTGGTCCTCACAATACGGCTCGCCTTCAAACTCAAAGTAATTGCCAGTTTTGAGCGGACAGTGACAGTCCTATACAGACAAACATATATTTAGTGAGTTTTGTATCAAATACAGTGCAACGGTAGTAAACTTTTCTCGAAGAAACACCCCTCCATAGGAAACACTTTTGCTTCACAACTGCCCGTTTCCTATGGAGAGGTTGCGCTGTATGTCAGAAATTTGTGCTGTTCTCATGTATTTTGTATTTCACGTAATATTTATGTAAAATCAATTATTTTCAGCGAATATACGCTTCGTTTGTCTCGAAAACGAAATCAAAAGTTTGGAAATATAATAAAGAAGACATACTCTGCAGACAAAGCAGTCGGGATGCCATTTGGCGTCCAATGCTGTCACACAGATCTTGTCGACAATCGGTTTATTACAGGCGCGACAATACGGAGCGAAGAGCTCTACATAACAGGGCCTGCAATAAGACTTGTCGTTGTGTTCGTGATAACCCTCCGGATCGTCACTCAACTGTTTATTACAGTGTTGGCATAGGAAATGTTCAGGGTGCCACGTTCTGCCCATCGCAGTCAAACATTTCTGTTAATTGTAGTTAATTTCGATTACTTATCATAACTAGCAATGAAATGGTGAAGTATATGATAACAGACCTCCCGAATGGGCGCATGACATGCGGCACACTTGGGCGAGAAGAGCGCGTGATAGTCAAAGTCACAATACGGCAGACCATCCTTTTCACGGTATCCATCGGTTCCCAACGGTTTGTGGCACTGAACGCAAGCGAAACACTCGGGATGCCATGTCTTTCCCAACGCTTTCAGTACTTTCTGTTAAAGAATTAGTTTGCGATTCAAAATATAGTTACAGAATAATACACATGTGAAGCATTACATCAGCGATGGGTAGTTTACATCCGTAACATTTAGGCAAAAACATCTCTTGAAAGTGTTTATTACAATAAGGCTTTCCATCCTTTTCTTTGAAATTATTGGGACTCAAAGGTGTCGCGCATTGACAGCACTTGAAGCAGTTCGGGTGCCACTGACGGCCCATCGCTACCAATGGCTAATTCAATGAATTTAATGAATTATTTTTATAATGTTATCCAATGTTTAACATTGTTCTTACGGTTCCTTCAATCGGAAGATTACATTCCGAACATTTGGGCGAAAATAGTTTGTGATAATCTTCCTTACAATAGGGTTTACCACTTTTCTCCATGAAATCAGTTGGCGATAATTTTTTATGGCATTTGTGGCACTGGAAGCACTCCGGGTGCCAATTCTTACCCAACGCCTTAACCATTGTTTTCTAATTTTATTGATATAATAATTAAAAACCCAATCATAAGCAAAATGAGCGATGTTTTACCAGATCTTTAATTGGTTGATCACAACCAGCACAGGGAGGGGAGAATAGTTTGTGATAATCTCGTTCACAATAAGGCTTTCCCGCCTTCTCGTAGAAGTTATTCGGACTCAAAGGCACTTCACATGTATTGCATTTGAAGCAATCCGGGTGCCAGTCCTTACCCATCGCTTTTATGTAATTATTCTGTCAATTAAATTAACCAAATAATAAATTAATTGTATTAATATTGTAGTACTAATGAGACGAATACGTACATCAGTGATGGGTTCATAGCACCCAGCACATTTCGGAGAAAACAACTTATGGTAATCATCCTTACAATAAGGTTTGCCATTCTTCTCATAGAAATTATTTGGGCCCAAATTTTTGCCACATTGAGCGCAGTTGAAGCACTTCGGGTGCCAGTTATGGCCCAAAGCGTTGACAAAATTACCCTATTTTTAGATATAATGATTCCAATGTAATATTTACTCAAAATAATCGCTAATTAGAGATTCTGCGATCGCTTACATCTTTGATAGGGAGGTGACAGCCCTCGCATTTGGGCGAAAATAGCTTATGGTAATCGGCTTCGCAATAGGGTTTGCCATTCTTCTCAAAATAATTGTCAGGACTGAGAGGAACCGCACATTTGTCGCATTGAAAACACTGCGGATGCCATTGCTTGCCCATAGCGTGCACTGGGTTTC